TTGAAGACATTCTAAATGAAATAAGCTACACAGAAAGAACAAATACTCTGCTGTTTGGCTTATATGAACTATCCGCAGCTGACAATTTAACAGAGGTAGGAAGAACGGTAGTGTGTTGGATGCCAGGGCTGAGGCAGAGGACCATGGGAGTTATGTTGAGCAAGGATTACTTTATTTTTCAAAAAGATCTACCTATTTATTTTTGGTTTTTCGAGACAGAGTTTCTCTGTGCAGCCCTGGCTGTCCTGGAACTCACTCTGTAGACCAGGCTGGCCTCAAACTCAGAAATCCGCCTGCCTCTGCCTCCCAAGTGCTGGGATTAAAGGTGTGCACCACCACTGCCCAGCCAACTCCTAGCCCTCCTAACTCCCTTCTCAAGTACTGGAACTAAAGGAGTGTACTACCTTGCCTGGGAAAAATCAAGCAGTTTTGGTTCTTTGCTACAAAAATAATCTTCTTCAAGATGGGCAGTGGTGGCGCACGCCTTTAATCCCAGCACTTGGGAGGCAGAGGCAGGCGGATTTCTGAGTTTGAGAGTTCGAGGCCAGCCTGGTCTACAGAGTGAGTTCCAGGACAGCCAGGGCTACACAGAGAAACCCTGTCTTGAAAAGCCAAAAAAAGAAAAAAAAGAAAAAAAAGAAAAAAAATCTTCATAGACTAGAGAGATGGCTCAGTGGGTTGGAGACGGATGTATTGATAAACAGCTGTAATCCCAGCATTCCTGTGGTAAGAGAGCAGGCAGAGAACGGCCTGAAGGCTCACAGGCCAGCCAGCCTGGAGTACACACCATAGCACAGCATGGCAGCAGAAACGAGAGACCATTCTCCAGAGAGATGGAAGGTGAGAACCAACTCTCAAAAGTTGTCCTTGGATTTCCACAAGTGTGTACCTTCAAGTGCAGACATACACACACAATATATAAAAATCAATAAAGAAATATATAAAAATCAATCAATAAATCATCCTTCTCTTAAAATAGCAATGTTAATCTTCATTCCTCTTTTGATTTGTTTGCTAGGAATCCCAGACCCATGAATGTCTTCCACTGATGAACGCTAAGCCTGGCCATGAGTCAGGCAAGGCAAAAGCAATGATAAATGGACTTGATGGTTCAGTTTTCTAGAAAAGCTTCCAAGGCTTAAGACCCGTCTGAAAACCTAGCGCTTGGGAGATAGAGGCAGGGTTAAGAGTTCTAGGTCATCCTGCACTACAAAGTGAGTTCTAGCCAGCCCAGTATATGAGATCTTATCAAAAATAAAATAAATAAAAATGCTGGCCAGGCATGGTGACTCACAATTTTCATGCCAGTATGGAGGGAGAGGGGAAGTTAAATGATCTCTGTGAGCTGGAGGACAGTCTGGTCTATGTGGAGGGTCCTGTTCCAGCCAGGGCTATATACTATCTCAAAACAACCCAAACCTCCCAGGATGAGGCATGTGGGACCTGAAGGAACATTTGATAATCTCAGATGAGCCACTGGAGGACCCTGATGGATGATGTAGTCCTATACTCAGGAGGACTGCACAAACAGACTCCACAAACAGCAAGTGCCACCTTAACCACAGTGGGGGCTTTGCTGGGGGTAACTGTCCTTAGCCTTTATTTTGAGCCACCAAGTGGGTGCTGGGACTGAACTCAGGGCCTCCCTCCAGCCTGTTAGCCTGTGTTTTGAGATGTTGACCCTTTATCCTTGTAACCGATCTAATCACGAGTCCCAAGGGCTAGCTAGTAAGTACTGTGAAAGGAACAAAGCTGTGGCCACCAGGATGTCTGGCTTCTAGTTCCCTTCTAGCCCTTATAAATCGTGTGCCTAGGGCTAGGCAGTGGTGACGTAAGTCTTTGATCCCAGCAACAGGGAGGCAGAGACAGGAGGATGGATCTCTAAGTTCGAGGCCAGCCAGGGCTACACAGAGAAATCCTATCTCAAAAACAAACAAACAATATATTGCATGGCTTGGGCAAAACAGTGCCACCTTCACAAATAGCAAGTGCTACCAGTGCTGCTGCTCTGACCTCTTCTATTCGCTGCAGCCGGTGACTGCAGCCGGTTACAAATTTAAGCCCCTCAAGGGTAGAGAGATCTCCCAGGTGCTGCTTTAAGCAAATAATCAAAGGCAATGTCATCAACAGTGAGACGAAATGACATCAAATATAGGAAGGATATGTGAAGTCTTCCTGCCTCAAACACATACTGGGAATGTGACCTTGGGGAGAGGACAGACAGCCTGGCTTCAGACACATGTCATCTAAATCCAGTGTGGTCTCCACAGGGCCAAGGATCAGGAGGAAAAATGGGGATAACTGGTGCAAATACAAAACATCATATGTGTATATGTAATATATCTAATTCTATATTTATTTTAGTTTTTCAAGACAGGGTTTCTCTGTGTAACCCTGGCTGTCCTGGAATGAACTCACTCTGTAGACCAGGCTGTGGTCAAATCCACCTGCTTCTGCCTCCCGAGTGCTAGGATTTACACCCAGCTGTATGTATGTATGTATGTATGTATGTATGTATGCATGCATGCATGTATGTATGTACGTACGTACGTACATATTTGAGACAGGGTCTCACTATGTAGCCCTAGCTGTCCTGGAACTTGCTAAGTTGACTGGGCTGCCCTTGAACTCTGCCTGACTTTACCTCCTGAGTACCAGAACTAAAGGTGTGCCAGCTGAACCTTCTATCCAGCCCTAGATACATTTCTATGAGAAACAGCATAGCCTAGTGCCACTGCTTAGGACTCAAGACACTATGGTTCTTAGGGGTAGAGGGACACATATCTGAAGTGTGAACTTGAGTGGTTTAAACCAGCCAGCCAGCACATGCCTGGACAGCTCATGTAGAGACAGGGAGACAAGGAATATTCGTTGTACTGGATACGGACACAGGATTCCTTCCTGAAACTTTACAGTCTTCTCTGGGGCCCACTCAGCTTTCCTTCTCCAAGGACCTCAAGGACCTCTAGCCAAATGGGAGCCCCTCTTTCTGTACCCCTCTGCCGAGATCTCTTGATGACTGGGTTTGCCTTGTACCGTTTTAGGATAATCATATCTCTCCAGGGATTATGTTCTTTACGAAAGGCCAGCCCCCTTTCTGCCTCTAAGCAGAGAATAGGGCCTGTTTTGGAAGGTACTATCATGGCACAAACATACTCCATGTGACTTTATGGTAGGAGAAGACCACTGAGGGGAAAGACAAAGGACTTAGACTCTAGACAGAAGAGAACAGGAACCAGCAGTCTCAGGGAGCCTGTGTGCCTCTGTAGGAGGATCCCATCTTTGGAAGTGTATAAGTGGAAGAAAGGAATCCCCCCCTTGAACACCTCCCACCCTGCTGCTCTGTTTCCTTTTTTTTTTTTTAAGTATACAAACAAATTGTGACTTTAAAGTTCTAAACAATTGAATGTGGTGGCACACAGCAGTCATCCTAGTACCACAAAGGCTGAGGCAGGAGGATCATGACTTTGAGATGAACACATACTATATAATAAGATGCCATTACAACAAAACAAAATGTTCACAATCCAGCTGAAGATAACTAAATGTTTGCCCTGATTTGATTAAATGTGAATTTGGACATGAATTCATTCAGTCATTTAACAAACACCGAGGACCTACTGTGCACTCTGTGGACACAGTGAGAAAACAGACTAGCTGTCTCAGCTCAGGAGCTTCCGCTCTACTGAAAGTGACTGTAGACAGCTTACATTACACTAAGCATGTTGCCTGTAATAAATCTATTAATTCTCAAGGCCTTCTTAGTATTATTCCACACTACTGAAGCACAAAGGTTAAGTAAGTTGTCCAAAGTCACACTTGTTTCTTGAGATAGGCTCTTATGTATCCCTGGGAGGCCTCAACTCACAGTGTAGCTGGGAACAGACTAACCCACTGATTCTCCTGCCTTCACAAGTGCTGGTCTATACATAGCTGGGGCTCTAACTTGGGGTCTAATGCACACTAAGTGTCTACCAATAGAGCTGTATCCCCAAACCCCCACAAACACACTTTTCTTTGCACTCAGCTGGCCTGAGCTCAGACCTTCACCCACTCCTCACCCAAGTTCTCAAGAGGATTCCTCTACTAGCCCATCCCACCTGTGGATTTGTGAGGAAAGGGCCAGTTAAAGCTGCCAGCATCAGCTGGCACCTTTGGAGGGCTTGCATCCAGAGTCCTACCATCCATCTGTGGCACCTACACACTGTTCATTCACTTGGTGGGTCTGTAGGAGTGTCATGGTTACTGACACTGGGCTGGATCACTGTTTCTCTCCTCACCACCAAAGGCTTAGGACTGACTGCTGTTCATTACACATTTACCACGGGCCAGCACTGTGCTCAGCACTGAGGAGACAGCAGTGGATGGGCTAGAAAATGGCTCTAGCCAGAGGCCTTCCACATTACTCAGTCCTTACAACTGCCATGTGAATAATTTACTGTCACTGCACAGTTCAGGAATCTGAAGCTCAGAGAACAGAGAGGACAGTTCAAGTCGGCAGGCTGGGAAGGAACAGATTTGCTGTGTGGTAAGCCAGGCTCATCACCCCAGGTGCTCTGCTCTGTGCCATATCTCCAATTAGGGACAAAAGAAGAAAAAGGACAAAAGATAAGCCACATTTGGTGGCTCCCTCAGGTAATTTCAGAACTAGAAAGGCTGAGGCAGGCAGATTCCTTGAGTTCAAGATCAGCCTGGGCTACCCAAGACAGACCCTGTCTGAAACCCAAACAACCAAGCTACCAGCCTTCCTGTTTGTGTTATGGATAGTGCCTTGCCTCAGCGTCCCTCAAAATTCCAGGTTACATCTGCCTTTTCCTACTACTGTCCCTGGTCCATCCCTCCTCCAATCCAGTAACACTGCTCACTAAATTTAGTGGGATCAATTTTTGCATCTATTTTGGCCTGGGACAAGACTCTCGGTCCTAGCTTCCTCATCTTTAAATAGATTCATCTTAAGAGTAATGAGGTGGCCCCTGTCTGTAACCCCAGCACAAGACAGGATGATTAGGAATACAGGTAGGTCATCTTTGGCTGCATACTGGGTTCTAGTCTAGCCTGGGCCATATGAGACCCTGTCTCAAAAGCAAAACAAAATATATATTAAATTAATTAACTTAAATATAATTATAAATAAATAAATAAATAATAAACCAATGTGATGTAAAATAAAAATGGAAAACCTCATCTCTCAAAATGGGAGAGAGTAGAGTCTTTCTAATGCTCTAATGGGGGGTTGAGGGGTGGAGCTCAGTGTTTAGCGAAAGCCTGGGAAGACACTCTCTTGTCATTCTCACTCGGCAGCATTTGAAGCCATAACAAGGATGCCTCAAGGTCTGGCGGTCCCAGGACTCTGACTTCTCACTGCCTTCGCCTTTCCGACAGTCCCCGCAAAACACAGAGACACAGCGACAGACAGACAGACAGACAGACAGACAGACACACACACACACACTCCGGGGCTCCCCATGGGCTCTCCTCGCTGCGTCCACAGGACGAGCCGGCTGCAGCAGCCTCTGCCCAAGCAAACTTATGGTCAGCAAGCCGCGGGTCAGCCCAGCTCGAGCGCAGGGTTACAGTGCACACCCCCACCCCGCAGCCTCAGCCGCCCTCCTCTGCAGGCAGGACACGCGTCCAGGCGGCAGGGTACGCATTGCCGTCGGGGCGCTCACTGCCTCGCTTGCCACAAGCGCCACGGCCGGCGACTCCCGACTCTGTCCCACGTACGGCGCCCGGTCCCAGCACCCCAGGCCTCCCGGCCCGCCCAGCCCCGCGCCCATTCGGCCGCTCCGGCCCGGCCCGCGCACCCCGGAAGTGGACGTCGGGGCCCGAGGAGCAGGGCCCGCTCCCCGCCGCCATCCAGGCGCGGCCTCTAGGGTCACCCACCCGGGGCTGCACCGCTCTGCGCCCCCGCGGACCCGCGCAGGACTTACCTGGCCAGCCAGGTAAGCCACCTCCGCTCAGCCCTTCCCCCGCCCCCCTCGGCACTCACCTGGGTCGCAGGTAAGCGTCTCGCGGGAGCGCGGCACGGGCCGCCGCTGGGGACACACTTCCTGGCTCCGCGCACCTGGCCGAGGCTCCGCCCAGCTCCGGCCTAGCCTGGAGAGTGAGGCCCTGAGAGGGACGGTCAGGCAACTGCTCAGGTCCCCTCCCTGCTCTATAGGCCAGTGTCCTGGAGGTGTCCGAGAGCCCATGGAGCGCCTACCAGACCTGAAAGCTCCTACTCAAAGACCATGGCTCCTAGGAAGCCGTCCCTGACCCCAGAGTACAGGGCCTGGCACATACCAGATGCTTAGCAAATATTCTTCACTGTTTGTATAGCTAGGCAATAATCTGTTGTCAATCTGTCTGTCCGTCTACACACTCACTTACATAGGTTTCTCCTTTTACATTAATTTTTATATGTATGGATGTATTGCCTACATGTACATCCGTGCACCAGTTGCATCCCTGGTAGGGTAAGAGACTGGAGGAGGGCATGGGATCCTCTGAAACTGGAGTTACAGAGGTTTGTAAGCTGTTATGTGAGTACCTGAGAATTGAACTTAGAACCTTGGAACTTGGGAGAGCAGCCAGTGCTCTCTGAGCTGAACGAGTCTTCAGCTCTTCTTATTTAGGCCTTCCCATCCAAGTATCAACCACATCCTGCTTTGAGTCGAGATCAGACTAGATCAGCTATGTTCTGAGGGGTGCAGCTGTAGTAGACGTTAACGGTTTTCTGAGACAAAGTCTCACGTATCCCAGGCTGGCCTCTAGCTCACTATGTAGCCAAGGCTGGCCTCGAGCACTTGTTCTTCCTACCTGTGGAGTGCTGGGATTACAAGCATGTACCTCCACACCCAACATAGGCCCTGATATCTTTTTTTTTTTTGCTCTGGGCCAGAGCTAGGGGCTTCCAGTTGGCTTGCCAGTTCACCTTCTCATCAGTTTTTGCAAATATGCAGCTGAAAACAGGAACCTTAGTTTGCAGAGACCTTGAACCCTGAATAGAGTAAAGAATTCAGTGCTGTGTGGCCCTTAGAGACACATGAGGAGACCAAAATCCACTTCCCTAGAAGGCTCCACAGGAGGCATGGTATTGGGCAGCAGGAAGTCAGGGCTTACTCTACCCCAAGCATCTTCTCTCCTTACCAACAGATGAATAGCCGGATGTCAGTGCTGACTGACATGAGCGTTGAGGAGGATCTCTGAGGTCTGTGCTAAACCCCTTATTTGCATAGTATGATTAACCTCCCACTAATCTGTGAGGTATAAATCTCATTCGAGGTAACCCCAAACTGGGACCATACAAATATCACTAACAGGAGATAAAAAAAAAATGTGGTAACTATCTGTGAGTCAGGGATTATCACACACACACACACACACACACACACACACACACACACGTGCACACACACGCGCACACACTGCATTGCTGATGTAGAAACTGATGCAGAAGGAAGACATAGATCAGAGTGTTTGCATGAAGTGTTTGACATGGGAGCAAGACACTTTCTGTCTTGCAGTTTCCTCTCTGTAGACATGGACCTCTCTAGCCAGATGTGGTGGCACATGCCTTTAATCCCAGCACTCTGGAGGCAGGGAGAGGCAGATCTCTGTGAGTTCCAGGCCAGCCTGGTCTACAGAGTGAGTTCTAGGACAGGCCGGGCTGAGTAGAGAGACCCTGTCTCAAAAAAGACATAAATAATTAAACAAACAAACAAATGAAAAAGAAGGTACCTCTGTCCACTGGGGAGGAGGATGAGGAAAGTCACACATGGAAATACCAGATTTGTGAGAGATGCCTGTGGCAAGTGTACACAGTATACTGTTCCCAGCAAAGGCCTGGTGGCAGAACTTCTCACAGTATATCACATTTCCTTCTGGGGCAAGGGGCACACCATAGTCTCCACTGGAACTCAGAAAATGAGTCCCATGGTGTATAGTGACTCTTCTGTATACTCTAAGACTAGCAAGGCCTGTTCTAGGGCACATTCACGAGAAGTTCTTGTCATGCTGTGGCAGGAGGAAATGTATACAAGGGACTGACTGGTAGAAACCATTCAGCCTGGTGGAACACACCTTTAATCCCAGCACTCAGGAGGCAGAGGCAAATGGATCTCTGTGAGTTTGAGGCTAGTCTGGTCTACAGAGTGAGTTCCTAGACTGCCAAGAAAAGAAACTCTTCAGCAAGGTGTACTACCACAGCCTGTCATCCCAGCGCTTGGGAGGTGGAGGCAGGAAGATCAGGATTTCAAAGCCATCCTGGGCTATAGAAGACTGTCTCAAAGACAACCCAACCAAGCAAGCAGACAAAAACCATCGTTCATGGTGGCCTCAAAAAGGAAATACAGGGGCTGGAGAGATGGCTCAGCGGTTAAGAGCACTGATTGCTCTTCCAGAGGTCCTGAGTTCAAATCCCAGCAACCACATGGTGGCTCACAACCATCCATAAAGAGATTGGATGCCCTCTTATGGTGTGTCCGAAGATAGCTACAGTGTACTCGTAATAAAATAAATAAAATAAATCATAAAAAAAAAACTTAAAAAAAAAAAAAAAAAAAAGGGAAATACAAACACCACTAAAGGACATAAAGGAGATACAGAAGTGCAGAAAATTCACTCAGAGCAATCTTTTTAGAGCATAGACAACAAGTAGAGACCAGAAGTATGGCTGTACCGAGCTAGTGTAACATTGAGTACGAAAGGCCAGTCCATGTGTTCATATGAAAGGGGTCCTTCTCATATAGTTCAAAACCAACCTGAATTTCTATGTTTAGGCATAATATTAGGCTGAATCATATCATACAACATTGCTATTGTTTGGGCTCCTTTGATCTAAAAAAGTAGCAAATTCATTTGGTCCAGCCTATATCATAAAACAAACAAACGAAGAAGACTCAATGGGGCAGATGAGATGGCTCATGGTGCTTGCAGCCAAACCTGATGTCCTGAGTTCCAATCACGGAGGGAGAGAACCATGGAAGTTGTCCTTGGACTGCTACACGTGCTTCATGGCATACCCCCTAAATGAATAGATCAATAGGTAAAGTTGTTTTTAACTTTGTGTCTATGTGTGTTTGGTGTATGCATGTGAATATAGGTGCCCACAGAAGCCAGATGCCTTAGAGGCCCCTGAAGCTGGAGTTTACAAGTGATTGTGAGCTACCTGATGTGGGTCCTCTGGAAGAACAGTATGTGCTCTTAATTCAGCTCTCTCTCTAATCCCTACTGTTATTTTGAGACAGGGTCTTGCTTTGTAGCCCTGGCTATCCTCAAACACTCAGAGACCTACCTGCCTCTGCCTCTCAAGTATTGGGTGGATGTCAAGTGGACATCACCACACCCAGGTACATAAATATTTTTTTCAAATGAGAATGATAACTGAGTAGGGGGCACATACCTATAATAATCGCAGTATTCAGGAGGCTGAGGCAGGAAGATCATGGTTTACGGTCAGTCTCAGCTATTTAGTGAGATCCTGTCTCAAAAGAGCAAGGTGTGATCTTATTTCACCCACAGAGTGTTGTTTTAATTATTTTTCCTGTTGTGATTTAAACACAAAGCAGGGGACTGAGAAAAGCAACTTGAGGGAGAAAGGAACGTAAAGTCCCAGGGTTTGACCTATCGTAGTGAAGCTATAGAGGCAGCTTGAGACAGGTGGTCAGATCGTATCCACCAGAATCAGAGAGCAATGAATGCATGTTCAGGGTCCCAGGCAGGGAATGGGGCCGCCCGCAGTGGACGACAGGTCTTCCCATCTCAGTTAACCTTACCTCTAGCCGATCTCTCGCAGTCTCCTAGGCAATTCTAGATCCCCTCAAACTGACAGTGGAGATCAACTATCACAAGTGTTATATGGAGTGTTTTTAAAATAAACTCAAGGTAACTGAGGCTCGAGCAGACATTTGTTCATTATTCATCGTGTCTTTTACAATCACTGAACAACCCAGTGTTCAATGAGAGACGACTGAATAAACGATACATGTGAGTATTGTTCAGTCATAAAAGGAAGACATGAAGCCGGGCGGCGGTGGCGCACGCCTTTAATCCCAGCACTTGGGAGGCAGAGGCAGGCAGATTTCTGAGTTTGAGGCCAGCCTGGTCTACAGAGTGAGTTCCAGGACAGCCAGAGCTACACAGAGAAACCCTGTCTCAGAAAACCAAAAAACAAAAAACAAAAAAAACACACACACACACAAAAAAAAAAAAAAAGAAAAAGAAAAAGGAAGATGTGGGCTGGAGAGATGGCTCAGCAGTTAAGAGCACTGATGGCTCTTCCAGAGGTCCTGAGTTCAATTCCCAGCAACCACATGGTGGCTCACAACCATCTGTAACGGAATCTGACGCCCTCTTCTGGTGTGTCTGAAGACAGCTATAGTGTACTCATACATAAAATAAATAAATCAATCAATCTTTAAAAAAAAAAAAAAAGGAAGACATTTCTGATTTTACACCGTGTTACACCATAGGTAAACCTTGAAGACATTTATGTTAAGTGAAATAAGGCATATAAGAAAGGACAAACACGCCAGGCAGTGGTGGCGCACGACTTTAGTCCCAGCACTTGGGAGGCAGAGGCAGGCGGATCTCTGAGTTTGAGAGTTTGAGGTTAGCCTGGTCTACAGAGTGAGTTCCAGGACAGCCAGGGCTACACAGAGAAACCCTGTCTTGAAAACAAAACAAAACAAAACAAAACAAACAAACAAAAAAGAAAGGACAAACACTATATGTTTCCACAAATATAAAATATTGCTGTCTGGGTTTATAACTCAGTGATAGAGTGTCTGTCCTCAGTACATCAGTCCCCAAGTTCAATCCCCAGTACTGCCTAAAATAATATGAATATGTGAAATATTAAGAATAGTCAAATTCACAGAGGCAGGAAGAGTGGATTCAGTTCCAGATTGGAGGCCATGGGCAGCTATTGCTTCCTAGGTACATAGTTCTTGTTTGAGTGATAAAAACATTTTTGAAATAGAGGTTGTATAATACTATAAATGGAGTTATTGCTCTTAAAGTGATGCTTCAAAGTGCTTTAAGGGGCCTGGGGTGATGGTTCAGGGTGACAGCACTTGCTGCACAAGACTGAGTACCTGAGTTCAAATCTTACCCTCTGACCTCTGCATGCACATAAGCCTAGGTTGCACATAAATCTCATCATGTGCAACACACACACACACAAACACACACACCACACACACATCCACACCACACACGAGTACCACACACACCACATACATGCATATCACACACACCACACACACACAAACACATACACCAAACACACATACCACACACATACACACACACACACACACACACGACAAAATAACTAAAAGCTAGTTTAAGCCAAGTGTGCAGAAAGCTGGCAACAGGGACTTCAAGTTAAAGGGCAGCTTTAGTTACATGGTGAGCTTGAATCCAACCTGAGCTATGCAATGGGACCCTGTGTCAAAAACTATAAAAAATGAGAATAAACAAACAAACAAACAAGGAAAGAATTTGCACATTTTTTCTTTTGTTTCTTGAGACAGGGTTTCTCTGTGTAGCCCTGTCTGTCCTGGAACTTGCTTTGTAGACCAGTCCTGAGAGGTGTGATTAAAGGTGTGCACCCCCGGCCCCCCAATGCCCAGCCAAGAATATGCTCAATTTTTTGTTTTGTTTTGGTTTTTTTAATTTTTTTTTTTTGAGATAGGGTTTCTCTGTGTAGCCCTGGCTGTCCTGGAACTCACTCTGTAGACCAGGCTAGCCTCGAACTCAGAAATTCGCCTGCCTCTGCCTCCCAAGTACTGGGATTAAAGGTGTGCACCACCACTACCCGGCTCTGAATACGCTCAATTTTTACTTCTCCTTAAAGCAGACAAAACAAAAGATGACATTCTGAAAGCACAACAGCATAGCTCACTGGCCTAGAGTCCAACAAGACAAGGAACAGGACAGGCTCCTGGGGTGAAGGATCCAGACTAACAATCTTTCTTCCTGAGTATTTTTTTTTTTATTTTACTTAGAAAACAAATATTTTTAAATTTTTTTTTGTTTTTTTTTTTTTTTTTTTTTTTGAGACAGAATCTTGTGTTACCCAGGCTGGTCTCAAACTCTCTAATTGGCTGAAGATGACGTTGAACCTCTGCTCTGAACCCCTCCCCAAGTACCTGATTAAAGACCTGCCTGACTTATGCTATGCTGGGATAGAACCTAGGACTTCATGCATGTAGGCGAGCACTCTACCAACAGAGCTACATTCCTAACAGAAAACATTTTTCTATTTTAGTTAAAAGGTCCCCCCCCCCATTAGCGCTAAAACCTGGGACTTTGCACATGCTTGGTAAGTATTCTACACTCCAGCACTGAAATCAGTTTTTGTTTTCTTCAAACCTAGAGCATGCTGGGGACATCCTCTACCCACCCGGTCACTTCTGTCCCCGTCACAGCCTGGAGTCCTGGCTTTGTAAGCAGTACCTCCTGACCTTATGCCAGATAGCTTTGGCCTCAGGCTTCTGCTTTTACCATCGTTTCTCTGCTATGTTTGATTATACTTTTCCAGTCACCTTCTCTGGTCTCTGCTTCAGACTTCTGGCTTTATGGTCTTTTGATAGAAGAGATATGTATCAAAGATCATCTCGATCTTTGACTCGTGCAACTGGATGGACAGAGAGCTTAGGGTATAACGATGCTAACTTAGGTTGGATATGTTGGGTTTCAGGGTCTCAAAGCAGTCAAACACATTACAACTGCACAGACAGATGGCTGTTTTGAAGCTGACGCACAGCTATTTTGGGGCTCGGGGGACTGTAGATGGGTGCCATAATCAGGCTCTGCAAGGCTGCGTCCTTCCCTTGAGGGCTGCCTGCCTCTGCTGTATTCTCCCGTAGGAGCACTAGGGGGCAGCACACAACAGTCGAAATGCCCAAAGTTGGCTCGCTGGCTCTGAGTTGGAATTCTAGGTGTGCGCCAATCCACATGCTGTGTGAATATAGACTTTGAACTTCAGTACTTCTCACAGAAGATGGGCTCAGCTTCGGCTAAGATAGCACATTTTTTACAGGGTGAACTCAGAAGCCAGAGTCTTTGGACTGTGCCCAGATCTATTACTTACTGGATTTGTGAATTTGGTTAAGCCACAGAATTTCTCTGTGCCTCTGAAATATCTGTAAAGTAGTGGGTGGTGGCACACTAGCCTTTCCCTGCTTAAGGCTTCATTTTCTACAGTTTCTGTTACCTGTGGCCAATTATGGTATTACAGAGAAATTTCAGAAATAAAGACCAGTATGGTGTCTTACACCTGTAATCCCAAAATATTCAAGAAGCATAAGCAGGCAGATTGCTGCCAGTTTGAACCCAGTCTGATCATACCAGATCAGGCAGGGTTAAATAATGAGAAATGTTCCCCAAAACAAAACACACACACTCACACACGCACACAATCAAAACAAACAAGACCAAAATAAATAATAGAAATAAGCATTCCATGGGTTGTATGTTGGGGCTGGAGAGATGGTTCAGTGGTTCAGAGCACTGGTTGCTCTTGCAGAGGATTGGGGTTCAGTTCTCAGCACCCACATGGCAGCTCATGGGAACTTGGTACCTTATTTTGACCTCCACAGGCACAATGCATAAATGTGGAACAAATACAGGTGGGCAAAACATGCATACACATAAAATTAAATAAATAGTTTTAAGGGCTGTAGAGATGGCTTAGTAGTCAGGGCACTGGCTGCTGTTTCAGAAGACCCATGTTCAATTCCCAGGGCCTACATGACTGTTCACAACTGTCTGTAACTCCAAAGCCCTCTTCTGGCCTCTTTTGGGCATATGGCATACAGATGTACATGTATATAAGCAAAACACCAAACACCTAAATAAAATCTAAAAAATAAAAATATATTTTTTTAAAGATTTTTTTTTTTTTGGTTTTTCAAGACAGGGTTTCTCTGTGTAGCCCTGGCTGTCCTGGAACTCACTCTGTAGACCAGGCTGGCCTCGAACTCAGAAATCTGCCTGCCTCTGCCTCCCAAGTGCTGGGATTAAAGGCGTGCGCCACCACCGCCTGGCTTAAAGATTTTTTTAAAAATTAAATTATATGTGTGCATGTGTGTGTGTGCACGTGTGTGTGTGTGTGTATGTGTCTGTGTGTGTGTGTGTGCATGTGTGAGTGTGGGTGTTTATGGAGTCCAAAAGAGAGGTTGGATACACTGGCACCTGACTTACAGGTGGTTTTGAGTCACTAACCAGCATGGATGCTGGGAACTGAACTCAGCTTCTCTGCAAGAGCACTGCTCCGCCTGACCCACCAAGCCATCTCTCCAGTCAATCTGTAAGTTTAAGTTAGGTGCTGTTTTGAGTAGCATGCTAAAATGTGTGCCGCCCTCTGCTTTGTCCTGGCCCTTTGACACCAAGTGTATGCTACCCTCTCTTTAGTCACTGGGCAACCTCTCAGATCAACTGTCCCCACACTGCAGAGCTTGTGCTGAAATAGTTCTTTTACTTACTTGCAGCCCCAAGGTACAAGCACAGCAATGCTGTCCATCCAGCCAAGCCAAGCGGGAGCTGTCAAGTACAAAGGTGTGTAGAATAAATGATCTATTCTAGATAGCCTATAACAGACTCACAATCTAGGTGTTTTATTTACAAGCTGTGAACCTAGATTGGGCAGGTTTTGGAGCTGACTTACATCTCAGCCACATGTACCTTGTTACTTGCTGTTTCTCCTGGTCCTGTGCTCATGGTCCATCTTCTCTCATGGTGGCCTCCTCCTCTCTTCTTTCTCTCATCTCTAATTGTGATCCCTCAGCCAGGTAACTGAAAACCTGCCTACCTTTATCTATTGCCTAATCACAGGCTTTAGCCTTTTATTGACCAATTAACTTGGTGAGCAAAGTTACATAGCATCACTTGGTGTAGTGAGGATCTCCTCATTGAGGTCATCCAGGTCTTAGGGGCTAGCTGGTATTTAGCATTTAGATAGATGGCGGCAGCAGACCAACCCTAATAAAGCTGTGAGTTCTAAAGAAGAAACATAAAGCTGGGGACGGCAGTATACATCTGTAATCCCAGCACTCAGGAGGCTGAGGCAGGTGGATGGATCACTGTGACTTTGAGGTCATCCTGGTCTACAGAGTGAGTTCCAGGTCAGCCAGGGCTTCAGAAGGAGACCTGTCCCATCACCTTTCCTCCACATAAAGATGTGAGCACACAGCTTCCTGCTCCAGATGCATGCTTGCCCACCACTGTGGACTAGCCCACAACACCTTACTTTACAATAGACTCTCTCTTCCGTAAGTGGCTTTTGGTCAAGGTCATTATCTTAGTCAGGGTTTTTATTCCTGTACAAAGCATCATGACCAAGAAGCAAGTTGGGGAGGAAAGGGTTTATTCAGCTTACATTTCCACACAGCTGTTCATCACCAAAGGAAGTCAGGACTGGAACTCAAGCAGGTCAGGAAGCAGATGCCATGGAGGGATGTTACTTACTGGCTTGCTTCCCCTGCCTTGCTCAGCTTGCTTTCTTATAGAACCCAAGACTACCAGCCTAGGGATGGCACCACCCACAATGGGCCCTCTCACCCTTGATCACTAATTGAGAAAATGCCTTACAGCTGGATCTCATGGAGACATTTCCTCAACTGAAGCTCCTTTCTCTGTGATAACTCCAGCTTGTGTCAAGTTGACACACAAAACCAGCCGGTACAGTCATTTACCACAGAATGGAGAAGTAGCTAATATAACCCCCCTTTGTAGATATAAGATTTCACATATCCCAGGCTGACCTTTAAGTCACTGTGTAGCTGAGAATGACCTTGAACTTCTGAGCCTCTTGCTTTCATCTCCAGAGTGCTGGGATTACAAGAGTGGACATGGACTCCTGGTTTATGGATGCTGGGAATCGAACTCTGTTGACTTACTTTTTTTTTTTTCAAAACCTACTTTAAAAAATTATTTATTTTATATATGTGTACACTATTACTATATATGAGTATACTGTTGTCTTCAGACATAACAGAAGAGGGAATCAGATCCCATTGCAGATGGTTGTGAGCCACCATGTGGTTGCTGAGAATTGAACTCAAGATCTCTGGAAGAGCAGTCAGTGCTCTTAGTTGCTGAGCCATCTCTCCAGCCCCTCAAAACCTAGTTTTAATAAGTGTCCTTAAATGCTTTAACCTCCCTTCTATCCCACCACCCACCTGAGGTAGTGGAAAAGAAAGTTTATCAGGATTCGGGGAAAGTGGACCTGTTTAGAAATTGTTCTTTGGGACAAATCTAATCTGCCTTGTCAGGATCTATACCAGCAGTCCAGTTCAGTAATATCAGGACAGCAAACACATATCAGCAGCGGTGTCACAAACCAGCAGAAACAGCAAGGCCTCTGTTGAGTCTGCACGAGTCAGCAGGAGCGATCAGGACCCAGCAGGAATGCCAGAAGTTCTCTGCTGGGCCTCTTTCAACAAAGCGAGTATGAAGACTGGAGACCAGGATGCATTGCAAAGCTATCTATGCAAGCCTGCCATCACTGTCCATTGAGTCCTATTTATACTCCCTGCAAACATCACGTGTTCTCCATGGTCTTCCCTCAGTAAAACGCCATGTGAGTCTGTATTAGCTGACATCACACTCCCAATCACCCAGAGACTATTTGAGCAGTAAGAAGCTGTCAGAACACCAACAGAAGTTTTTTGGTGTGTGTGTGTGTTTTTTGTTTTTCTGTGAAGTCATTACCAACGATGACCATTAAAGAACAGCAAGGTATACCAATACCATCCAGTGTTGTCTGCTGTCTGTTGGGTCCTTCTTAACATCAATGGGTCCTTTCTTGTGCTTGCTTGAGCAAACATCCTTTCACTTGTGTCCACTTCAGGAAAACACTCCTTCCAGTGTCTGCTTTAGGAAAGCATCCTTTCACTTGTGTCTGCTTCAGTGAAACATTCTTCGATATAACTGACTTTCCACAAAAATCAGAGTTTCCACTTCAGAACTCAGACCCTGAGTAATTGGGGCAGACCCTGGTCCCATTCATCCTGCCTTTGCTACCAGTGTCTTTCTGTTTAGAGGGCTCTTCTCTCCTAACGTACCCACTGCATGTTTTTTTTTGTGGGGCCAACTAAAGTCCATCTTCAAAAATGGGCTTATCGTGCTGTCCTGGCCAATGAAGGTATATTCAGATGTTTTCTGGACAAGATTATGGACGAGAGAAACCCTGAGTGGATTGTAAACTAGCTACAGGCTCTACATACGGCTACAAGTGTCTGCAGATGAGCCCATCAAGAACCAAGAAAAATCTGATAAAATCTGATAAAAATCTGAGCTTCGACTGCATGAACTCCTCACCCCAGCTCTTCCTTGACACTGTGCTCCCTATGAACTTCTCATTTAGGTGAACGGGTATGCTCTTCTATTTTTCCTTAATCCTTATTTTTTCAAAACCATATTTATTTGTAGTGATAAATATTATTTGGGGGTTTCTACCCCATCTTAGATCATTCAGTTCCCAAATAAAAGACACAGAACCTTTATTTATTTTTGTTAGCTTTTGGTTTTGGTTTTTCGAGACAGGATTTCTCTGTGTAGCCCTGGCTGTCCTGGAACTCACTCTGTAGACCAGGCTGGCCTCGAACTCAGAAATCCGCCTGCCTCTGCCTCCCAAGTGCTGGGATTAAAGGCGTGCGCCACCACCGCCTGGCGAACCTTTATATTTTTAAAAGCCTTAAAGCACTGGAGCTGGGCAGATGTCAACCATCTATGTTATTTTGTCTAATTCCCTGTCAATAACCCCGAGATGTCACTTGCCATGTCCTGCCTGGGCAGCCCCTACTCCAACTGGCCAGCCCTCATGGCCAGCGCTCATGATCTACCTACTTCAAGGTGCCTTCTTTCTTCTCCTTCTCTCTCCCCCTGATCTTTCCTTAGACCCCAAGCCCGAGATCCAAAGCTCTGCTTCCTCTCATCTGCTCAGCTACAGGCTGTCAGCATCTTTATTCAACCAATAATTTTAAGTTAAGGAGCAAGGTTTGCACAACAAAAGCTGATATATGCGAGAACTCACTCTGAAGCAACTAGACCTTGGGATACAGAATTTAGCATTATAATACATAGCAACAGAACAAACCTCAACATTTATTTAAGTTGTATGTATGTGAGTTAACTGTCTCACATTGCTTCAGACAAGGTGAAGTCAATCTCTCCCATGTTTCTCCACAGAAAAAGTCTCATCTTCTGAGCATGATGGCCAAAGACTGCCTCTGCTTGTGGTGCCATGGAGACTACAGGAGCCTGGAACAACTGACTAGGTAATAGACTTTGGAGTAGTTTCTGTTATTTTAATTGATACAAAAGCCATTTAAGTTACAATTTATCTTTCTCGGGTCTCTGAGGGGTTTGATAGACTAGTGAAAGAAGTATAAAGCTTATGGGCTGGAGAGATGGCTTAGCAGTTTAGAACACTGACTGCTTTTCCAGAGGTCCTGAATTCAATTCCCAGCAACCACATGGTGGCTCACAACCATCTGTAATGGGATCTGATGCCCTCTTCTGGTGTGTCTGAAGACAGCTACAGTGTACTCACATACATTAAATAAATAAATAAATAAATAAATAAATAAATAAAAAATTTTTAAAAAGTAAGGTCTGGCTGGGCAGAGGTGGGACACACCTTTAATCCCAGCACTTGGAGGGGCGGAGGCAGGCAGATTTCTTAGTTTGAGGCCAGCCTGGTCTACAGAGTGAGTTCCAGGACAGCCAGGGCTACACAGAGAAACGCTGTCTCAAAACAAAAACAAAAACAAAAACAAAAACCAAACCAAACCAAAACAAAACAAAACGAACAAACAAAAAAGTAAGGTCTGATGCTATAAAAGCATCTAGGAAAGTGTTTGAGGGTCTAGGAAGTCGTTTTGAGGTTGGGAAATGCAACTTATGAAGGTTGGAGGATGGGAAACATTGAGTGGTGATAGGAAAATGATGGAAGGTACATGGGTGTAACTAACTTTTTTAAAGCCTATTTTTTTTGTTTTTTTTTTTTTGTTTGTTTTTTGTTTGTTTTTTTCGAGACAGGGTTTCTCTGTGTAGCCCTGGCTGTCCTGGAACTCACTCTGTAGACCAGGCTAGCCTCAAACTCTCGAACTCAGAAATCCGCCTGCCTCTGCCTCCCAAGTGCTGGGATTAAAGGCGTGCGCCATCACTGCCCGGCCTTAAAGCCTATTTTTAATGCTGGTTCTTAAATGCTCTAACCGCCCTTGTAGCTCATCACCCACCAGAGGTAGTGGAAAAGAAAGGATACAGGAGAAGTGGACCTGTTTAGAAAGGTTCTTTGGAGCAACTCCCATTTGTGTTGTCTGGAAATCAGCAGTTCATTCACAGGTTAACAGGCAGCGGCAGTTCGATCTACTCAAAAGCATTTCATGGTGTATACCAGCAGTCCAGTTCGGTAGAGTTCAGATAGCAAACAGGAATCAGCAGGAGGGACCAGGGCCAACAGGAATGTCAGGAGAAGTTCTCAGCTGTGCTTCTCTGAAGATCAGCAAAGATGTGGCACCAACAAGCACTGCACAGCTAGCTCTGTAACCAAGCCTAGCTCAGCCTCCACCATTGTCTGTCAACTCTTTTTTATACTCCCTCCAAACATCACATGTCCTCCACAGGGCTTGTCTCAGCATGTGTCTTGCTTCAACACGTGAGTTTGTCTTAGCTGACACCATCCTGCCAATCAGCCTGAGCCCAAGGAAGCGGCAAGAAACTGCAGCACACCACCAGAAGGCTTTTGGTACTTTTCTCTCTGTGGAGTCCCGACAAATGGATCTCAACTACGCAGTGTAAGGCGGACCAATACATGCATGCTGTTGGGAAAGGATCCTTCATCACCTGTCCCTCCACATGTGCTTGCTTCAGCAGAACATCCTTTCACCTGTGTCTGCTCCAGCGAACAGTTTCCTTCATGTGTTTGCCCCATCAAAACATCATCTAACAGAACTGACTTTTTAAAGAACCCTTACGTTTCAACTTCACTCGGGAGAAAGGAAAATGCTTTAATTTCTTCTCCTTGCTCTGCTACTGTTGCATCGAGACTTCGAAGTTCAGAGCTTTAACATTAAACAGTGGTAATACTAACATATCTGAAATCTATTTCTTTTTGTAAACTTAAAAAGATTTGTATAAGCTTCAGGAAAGCCACTTGGTTCCCCCTCTCACAGGTGAAAGGGACTCTAAATAAGTACTGTCAATCAACAGCCTGTTCCCCCCCTCACCTGCCTTTTCCTGAGGGTGGGATCTAGTTCCCTTTCTTTGGTCTTGAGACCCACCCCCTCCAACTACCCTGGGACTAAAACTTTCAAATGTACACCCAACAAAACGTTTTTCTCCCTAAACTCCTTAACTTTATCTTCTGCCCCTAAAACACACACACACACACACACACACACACACACACACACACAATCTGTTCCAGCATCCTGCCAGGTCCAGACAGTTCCTAGAATCTGCATCCAGGATAGGGCCAAAGCAGTCACTCAGGTATTCTGGCCTCGCCTCACAGACTGCTTCAAATGGGCCTGCACACTTTTACCTCCAGATGGTCCCACAACCTGGACAGTAGTGAAACAACTAGCTCTCCCAGGACTTGACTAGCATCCAGATTTTTTTTTAGGATCTCCAAAATAATGACACACCAATGTCAGCAGGAAGTCGTCATAGATAATTACATCACCCCCTTTATTCATTTATTATCAACAAAAGGCTGGGATGTTGGGTTTCAGACCCTGGACAAATGGTTGAGGTGGCCAAAGTGGACCTGGCCTCCAGGTTATCCCAGTATCCCTCAGTTCATACCTGGCAAACTCCACTCTCTATCCTGAACTTTCCAGCCCAGGGGCTGGGTTTCCCCTTCCCCAGAGTCCCCCCAGAGGCTCTCCCCAGACATTTTGGTTCCCCCTTCTCTCTTTTCTCTCCTTCTCTCTTTCTCTTCCCCTTCCCCACTGTTTTCCTCCCCATGGTGACTTCCTTCTCTGACCTCCTTTCTTGGGACCAGAGAACTCATCCAAGAGTGATTTCCTAATAAAACAGCCTTTTTTTTTTTACTCTAATTTGGCTTGAATTGGCTCATTTCACCAGCAGAGAAATAACTTATCAGCATTTACATAAGTGTATGCCTGTCTTTGCCTTCTGTCACATTTGAAGCAGGCTCTGTTTGTTGTTTGATGCTTACCCACCAGGTTAGCTGTCCTGTAAGCCTCCTCTGGGGACTCTCCTGTCTCTGCTTTCCCTCTCACACAGAAGTGAGGGAGAGTTACAGGGAGAGACATACATAGACAAGGAAAGCCATAGTGAGCTCCCTAAGACAGTACTTCCTATTCCCAGAAGACATTACAAAAAAGCACAGGTGTATGTGCGAGGTATCTAAACAAATCCAGGAGGGGAAAGGGAAGGACCCAGCCCAGAGTCTATTTAGCAGACTCCAGTGAAGGGCTTCTCCCATGCTTGGGGGAGCTATTTACACTAAGATTGTTCTTTTGCTTTCTCCTAGACTGGGCCTTCCTTTTTTCCCCCCAGTAGTCCTGTGCGAATCCCATTTGGAGGGCTCTGTAGTCCTCTAGATGACCGCCAGCACCCGGTTACAGGAGCACTGGGCTTACAGACCACTCTTACACACTCAGCTTTACATGTGTCCTGGAGGTTCAAATGCATGCTTCGTACTTACATGATGAATGTTTTATTCACTGAACTGTCTCCTGGCCTTAGTCCTGCTTGCTTGCTTGCTTTCTTTCTTTCTTTCTTTCTTTCTTTCTTTCTTTCTTTCTTTCTTTCTTTCTTTTTTTTTTCTTTTTCCTGAGACAGAGTTTCTCTGTATAGTCCTGGCTGTTCAGTCCTGCTTTCTTAATAATCTTGTAGCCAAACGTGGCGACACACACCCTTAGTCCTAGCACTTGGGAGGCAGAGACAGTCAGATTGCTGAGAATCTGAGGTCAGCCTGGTTTACAAAGTAAATTCTAGGCAACCAGAGCCTGCATAATTAAAAATAACAAAACACAAAGCCGGGTAGTGGTGACACACACCTTTAATCCTAGCACTTGGGAGGCAGAGGCAAGTGGATTTCTGAGTTCGAGGCCAGCCTGGTCTACAGAGTGAGTTCCAGGACAGCCAGGGCTACACAGAGAAACCCTGTCTCGAAAAAAACAAAACAAACAAACAAATAAAATAACAAAACAACAAAAACACAAAGCAAAAGAAAGAAGGAAAGAAAGAAAGAAAGAGAGAGAGAAAGAAAGAAAGAAAGAAAGAAAGACAGACAAAGAGAGAAAGACAAAGAAAGACATTTTCCTCTGAGTTATTTTGCCTGATCAATCCCATGGGTGTTCCAAGGGGCTCCTAGACACAGCCTTTCACCCCAGCCAACAGAAACCCTTAGGTACAATTCCCAGCCTTGTTTTGTTCTTTCCCGGGGTTTTCTGTCACCTACTACTACCATGGGAAGCTTGCAGCCACATAAGCAAGGAGCTGAACAGAGGGACGTGAGTGGAGTGTGGTCTCCCCTGTCACGATAGAGTCTGAATCAGCATCATATGTCAAGAAGAGCTGGCTAAGCTGGTCTCAGAGGAGGCAGCAAATGTCAGACCCAAAAGCAGATGGCAGGGGTAGAGCTGTGGGCTGGCACCATCACCAACTGCCTGTCGAAGCATTTCAGGCAGATGGCAGGGCCTCAAATGCAGAAGCCGATCCAATGTCGCAGGCCAAAGGATCACACAGTTGTGTCTTATTGATTCTGGGTCTTCACAGAGTACATGAAAGGAAGTATAAGAATAATTAGGGGACACACAGAGGAATTGTGGGTATGGATCCCAGCAGCCATGATGGGTGGGAGGACAGAGTGAAGTTTGAGAGCCCTGGGCAACAGAAGGGTTTACAAAGCCTGACACCATTTGTCTTGCTGGGCAGCCTGGAGCTAAGGGAACGGACTTTTCTAGGCTCTCAATTTGTCTATAAGTCACATGAAGTATCAGGTTCAAAGTCACCTCAAGGAGGTTCCTCATGAGTGTGCTCACAAGACAGCAATCAGTGCTCTCTATACAAGCCACTTTGGCCTAGCTCTGGTTTTTCTCCCAGCCCAATAGTCAGCAGTGCTTGACAGCTTAGGGCCACAGCTCTTATGTAGACTGATTTGTGTGAGGAGGAAGAGGAGGAAGAGGAGGAGGAGGAGGAGGAAGAGGAGGAGGAAGTGGAGGTGGTGGTGATAAGAGGTGGTCTCTGTGTGTGTGTGGATGTATGTTTCTGCTCTGTGAACTTTGCCTGGGGAGATGAACAAATGTCTACTTATTCAAAGGGCCCCAGAGGGACAGTTCCATCCTAGTTGAGCCTGGTAAACCAATGAATTTAATTAGGGGTGCTTATAGGAGCAGCCATTGTAAAGAATTATTTACAGGAATAGGGAGACTTACAGACAACTACACCACTGAAGAAAATGTCTATCTTCAGAGGGAGGCAGGGCCTCACAAAGCCCTCCCCCCTCCTCCTTGTGAAGGAGAGATTCAGTCTTGGACCAGTCTCTGGCAGGTACTCACAGCTGCTGGGTGTTCAAGATGGCCGCATCATGCTTTGTGAACACTTTTCTACACGTTTTGCTTTGTGTTTTTTGGTTTTGGAGACATGGGCTCACTTGGTGGCCCAGGCTGGCATTGATCTCACTAGGTAGCCCAGGCTGGCCCTGAACCCACAATGTAGTACAGTCTGACCGCAACCTTGGCGTGGCTGCAGATGTGTGCCACCATGCCCCAGCCCCTCCCACATGCTCTGGGCTGCTGTCTGAATCCTGCCTGACCTCCCTGTGAGGCTGTCTTAGGTGTTTGTCTTCCAGGTTCTCTTTATCTCTGTACACTTTCTCCCAAGACTGTTCATTCTGTCCTATGGTCCCAATACCAACTATATGGTGACATCACACTGAACCTAGACCTCCATCCCAGACAAATCCTTTTTTAAAAATTATATTTATTTGTTTATTTTGGGAGCGTTTGTTGGGTGTACTGCAGTGGCACATGTAATGTCAGAGGATCCCCTTCAGGGGTCTGCTCTCTTCTCCCACTCTGTGGGTTCCAGAGATTGAACTCAGGGAGTCAGGTTGGGTAGAGCCATGGCCTTTGTCCACTGAGCCATCTCACTGGCCCCACCCACTATACTCCTGCCTAGGGCATCCAGAGTCTTCACACAGGCTTCTTTCTCCATCCCATATGCAGAACTTAGCAGGAAATGTACTTTCCTTCTTCTCTCTGTCTCCCCCAACCCCTTTTTTGAGACAGACTCAGGGTGGGCTGGAAATCCTCACATCAAACAGGCTTCCCGCTCCTTCTGCCTCATCTTCCGAACCACCTGGATTATAGACATGAGCTACCAGGGCTGCTCTCTTTGTCTTCTTGGTTTCTTCTTTTTAAAAACTATTTATTACCCAGGCACTGGTGGCACCCTGTGATCCTAGCACAGAGGCAGGCAGTTCAAGGCCATCCTGGACTACAGAGTGAGTTCCAGGACAGCTAAGGCTACACAAAGAAACGCTGTCCTGAAAAACAAATATATATACATATATATGTGTGTGTGTGTATGTGTGTGTGTGTGTAATTGTGTCTGTAATTGTGTGTTGGGGGAGCACATGGCACTCATGTAGAGGCAAGGACAACTTTGTGGAGTCAGTTCTCTTTCTCCATTTGTTTCTTGTATGTGCAGGGCATCTCAAACCCAGGTTGTGGGGCTTGTGTGCAACATGTTACTGGAGTCCAGTCTTGGGTCCACACTGCCTTGTTTCTTTTGTCTTTCAGGTTAGACTGATCCATAGTGAGCCCGGTTTTGGAAGTCAGATACTCATTTTCCAGAGTCTGGTGACCTGAATTCACGTTGTAAACCAAGCTCCCTTTGCAGTCGAAATCTTCCTGCCTACATCTCCTCAGCCTGTGATGGGCGAGACCCTGCAGAGCCTCCTCCATCTTGGATTCCTGCTGAGACCATTTCAGTGTTAACCAGAATTTGGTCTCCTTGATGGAGAACCCCATGGAAAATTCCCCTACTCTATCCGAGGAACAGGGTAACCCATCTCAGCTTCTGTTAACACTGCTTGCTTCGAACTGCTTACTTCTAAGAAGCCTCCCTGCAGCTGTCAAGCAAAAAACCAGGATGTGGTTTCTGCCTTTAAAAACCCCTGTATTCTGGGCACCCTGGGCCACACCTAAGTTCTCCAAACACTTGCATATAGTCCCAGCCTTTTGGAGTAAAGATTTTCAATGGACTCTAATCTGTGTCTGAGTGATTGGGGAGGGGGCACGAGACGGGGCTCTCTGTAACAAGAGCTGGGATTACAGTGTGTCCCCACCCCCAGCCCCTCTCTGTGCTGCTTTCTGCATGTCACCCCTGGCCATTCCGTGTGATATTTACATCTTCAGCACAGCTGCCTCAGCTCCTCCAAGGGACAGGGTCACGAAAGGAACAACGTGCGTGTAGAGGTCAGAGGTCAATTCCACGGAATTGGTTCTTTCTTTCTACCTTCGCACGGGTTCCGGAGATTGAACTCAGACTGTAAGGGTCTCATAGCGAGCGCTTTTACCTGTAGAACCATCTCAAAAGCCACAACATAAATCCTCGACCTTGATCTCTCTACCAAAGCTGCTTCTCCCCCTGTTCTCCTCTCTGCCAGGAACATCATAATCCCTCTGCTGTTTTGCAGGCACTCCCAACCCCCACTAATCCATTCTCAAGTCTTCTCCTTTCCAAATTGAACCCCTAACGCATCCCCTTCTGCCCCAAGCCATTTAGGCCTGGCACTGTCCTCTCTCCCATGGATTACCAACGTAAGCTCCTAACTCATCCCTGGCAGCCCTCCCTCACTCCCTTCCAGCCCAGTCTCTCCAATCTACCTAGCAAAAGCCTCATCTTTTAGAAATGAATTAGATCATGTTGATGCCCAACCTGTCCAAAAGCAGGCTCCACCTCAGAGCTCACGCCTCCCATTTTCCTGCAGGCTCACCAGACAAATGAGACACCTACTTTTCTGCCCCAGGGTTTTCATACTTATTATTTTTGATGAGAAATCTCTCTCCCCAGTTCTTCAAGACTGTCTGCCCATCATCATCTTTCAGGTCTCAGATTAAATATCACTTTTAACTTGGGCTGGACCTACACCCCCCCCACATGTAGCAGATGTGCAACTTGGTCTTCATGTGGTCCCCAGAACACCTAGAGTGGGACTGTCTCTAAAGCTGCTGTCTGCCGGTGGATCCTGTTCCCCTAGTGGGAGAGGATGCCCCTAGCCCTGCAGAGACTTGATGTGCTGTGGTGGTGGGGATACTCAGGGGGCCTCCACCCTCTCAGAGAGAAGGGGGTGGGAAGATGTATGAGGGGTACTAGGAGGAGGGGTTAGTGATCGGGATGTAAAGGGAACAAATAAATAATGGAAAAATTATCATTTTCATAGAGGAAGTCCCTGCAGGACTCCCTTTTCTTTTCTTTTTTCTTTTTGTTTTTTTTGAGACAGGGTTTCTCTGTGTAGCCCTGGCTGTCCTGGAACTCACTCTGTAGATCAGGCTGGCCTCAAACTCTGGACTCCCTTTTCTATGAAGTCACTAGTTTCTCCCTTCCTCACTTCCCAGGTGGTGTCGCGTTTTATAAAAACAAAACAAAGGAGTGGTACGCTAGAACTAGAACTAGATGACTTATGACCTGGGGCTGGTTCCAACAGGCCTTGGCTGTGTGACACTGACCACTCCCCCTCTTTCTGTTTCTTTACCTATAAAACACCACATGCAACAGCATCTCTGGGAGCCATTCCTGGCACAGAGGGAGCACACAGGAAACAGCGCTGTCTAGTTCATTCTCTTTTAAGATGGGTTTCCTAGGATTTGACTGTTCTTTACTTTCGAGACGTGAGATTTGTCAAACAGGGATCACCTAGCATCACAGGATGGCTGTTTATATAGGGGTGCTTAATTGGATTGTTGAATGAATCCATGAAAGGAGGCGTTTTATGCCCCCCCTACCTTTGTCCTGTTTATCTTTCAACACCAGGCTGTTTTAGTGATGTGGAAACTGGAGCCCTGCCCGGGTATGTGTCGCAGTGGTAGAGTGCCTGGCTAGCACACAGAAGGTCTGAGTTCTTTAAAACAAAAAGGGGAAAAAAAAAACACACCTAGCCCTTGAGAGACTTGGGGCCCCAGGGAGTGGGGAAGCCTGGTGGGGTGGGGGTGGGGAGTGGAGGCATTCTCTTGGAGGGGGGGCAGGAGGAATGGGATGGGGAACTGTTGTAGGGCAGGAAGGAGGGGGAGAGCAACTGGGTTGTGAAAATTATTTAAAATATTAAAAAACAAACAAACCAATGCCCTCCCTGGAAAAAGCAAACAAGCAAACAAGCAAGCACCCTCCCCCTCAAATTCTGAGATCGTTCCTAAGGGGGGATTTGAGAAGCACACTAGAGGAAAGGAACATGATTTCCACTTGCCAGAAATGTGACAAGGTATCAGAAGCATGTGGCACCTACTGCCTCTGTTGAGCCTTTTATTCCAGGAAAAATAAGTAGGGCAAAATTTTCATCACTGAAGAGATTAAAAACAAAGAAAGCCTTAGCTCTCTGGGTGCCTCAGCAGGCGGATTGCAGGCTGTGGGCAGGGTGACATTGGCAGTGTACTTGTGGCTTGCTGGGGGAAGACATTCAGTCTCCTGGCCAAGTAGCCTCCTCCTTCCCCAGCATTTAGGAAGCAGAGGTCTCATATTGCCAATGCAGGAACAGAGGCCCAGAGAGAAGAGATGTGCTCAAGCCGCTGTGCATGCAACCGAAGGAGGATTACTTTAAGTCTTGATGGATTCCTAGGTTCTCTATATGAGAGAGGAGAGAAAGAGCAGGAGAGAGAGAAAGACACAGAGACAGACAGAGATAGACAGAGAGGCAGAAACAGAGAGAGAGACAGAAACAGAGAGAGACAAAGATAGAGAGAGGAGAGAGGAAGGGTGAAGTGTCCACTGGTAGGCTCAGGTGCTTGCAGGTGTGTAGGACAACCAGAGAGCTTCGGGGATGTCTGAAGGAAACAGGAGGTGGAGGCTGGGACCCGGCTGCTTTATTTTCAGAACTGCTATCTTTGTCTGTATCTGCTAAATTATTAAACTGCCATCGCATCCTCGCGGGTGTCAGGCCAGCTTGCCAGGAAGATGTAAAGGGGGGTGGGAGGGGTGGAGCTTTGTGCTGGGGCCTTGAATCTTCTAGGCTGGAATAGAAGTGGATTTCTCAGTCCTTGACCTTTGTCCTATCTCATGCTCAGCTGAAGAAGGGACCTGGCCGGGCCATGGTCACACTTGCCACTCTCCCCTGACTTCCTCTACAGCTCTCCCTTCTCCCCTTCTCCCTAGATAGTTCTAAGTGGGGTTGGTCCATACTGGGTGAGGTTCTGGAGGCTGGTCTGGTGGCATCTTTGCTTCCAATGTTTTGGACTCAGACCATGGGCTTTGAGTCTGGTAGATAGGAACAGGTTCTTGTGCAAATCCTCAAGTCCTTGTCTGCACCATAGGCAGAACTAGACGTTAAGAGAAAAGAGCTCTTCTCAGCTCTGCAGACCTACTAGGGAAGGGCCAAACTCCATCCAAACACAAGCTCCCTGCTCCCATGTCTTCCCCCACCTTCTTTCTAATACTTTTGCTGTTGTTGTTTTGAGACAGAGTCAGCTCTTAGTAGCTAAGGATAACCTTGAACCTCTGAGCCCCTTGCCTGCATCTCCTGAGTACTGGGATTACAAGTGTATGTTACCCTGCCCCCATAACCAGCTTTTGTGGTGCTAGGAGTTGAACCCAGGCCCTTACACATACCAAGCAAGCATTCCACCAATGTATACACCCCCAATCTTTTTTTTTGTTTTTAAATTTTATTTTTTTCTACAAGAAAAATCTGTCATTTTTACAAAGATCAGAGAAAATGTAATGGTCATAATGGAACAAACAAACAAGCAAACAAAGCATTTCCTAGCTGGGGATGGTGGCAAACCTGGTCACTTCCGCATTAGGAAAGTGGGAGCAGGTAGGTCAGGAGTTCAAGGCCAGTTTCAGGTGTCCAGCATATTTAAAAGCAGCCTGGGTTAATGAGACCCTGTCTCAGTGTGACAAAAAGAGTGTAGCAAAGTGGCATGGCCAAAGCACTTGCTAAAAGTCTGAAGACCAGGGTTAAATCCCTGAGAGCCACCTGGTGGAAGAAGGGTACTGATTTCCACAAGTTGTCCTCTGACTGCCAGTAACACACACACACACACACACACACACACACACACACACTTCACCTCTTAGAGCTTTAAAAGAAAATTAAAAGCACATTTTGTTAGGTTGGGCATGGTGACGCACACCTTTAATCCCAGCACTAGGGAGGCAGAGGCAGGCAGATCTCTGAGTTCAAGGCCAGCCTGCAGTTCTATATAATAAGTTCCAGGACACCAGCGTAGCATGGTGAGACCTCCTGAATGCTGGGATTCTAAGCTTGTGTCACCATCCCTCATTAAGATCCCTGAGATCTAACTCAGGACCTTAGACATTCGAGGCAAGTACTCTCCCAGCTGAGCCACATCTTCAGTCCCCAGCTTCCTCCTTCAAAGGGCTCAGGTTCTTGGGCTAACGGCTTACTAACAAGTGGTTGACTGTGGTTTCTTGTCCACTCCTGGGAGTGTGGAGTCATACAAGATGACAGGAAAACAGGGAGTTACCAGTCTTCTCTACTGGTCTCCTGCACGGTACTCCTACCCTGAATCTGCCCCCATCTCTGTATTATTCATGTTGACTCATCCTGCTGTTCTCAGTTGAAATGCCACCTCCTGCACCTCATCTTCCCCAGCTGGCCTCATTGGGTAATGTGTTCCTGCAGCCTCTGTGTTTCTCCCATGCAGGTACAAATGGTACTGAACTGCCTGTCTGATCTACTGAACTGCCTGTCTGATCACCTGTCTCTGTGCTCCGCCCCCTGAGGTCACCATGGGCAGGGCTTATCCCATTAATGGATGGACCTCCCCTCCAGTCAGTCATCCCAGCAGAAGAGGTGAGCGAAGTGAGGGAAAGAAAATGAATGAAGGAGGGCAAGAGGGGTTGTCTCCATGCCAATGCTGTCTGCTTCAATAGGTTGGGGTATAGCTCTGTGGTGGAACTCTTGCCTAGTGTGCAAAATGCCCCAAGTTCTATAACACACACATATACACAGACAGACAGACAGACACACACACACACACACACACACGCACACACACGCACACACACATGAGTGCTTTTAGACCCTAACACTCTATTAAATGTCAAAGGATTCCATCAATAAGGAAAGCTAGTATAGAAGGGAGACTTTATTAACAATGAAAAAAACAAATATATATGTATATATATTATATAGTGCACATATATAGTATAGCCTATACATGTATACACAGAAGACAGGAAAAAATATTGAATGCCTGATATAATGGTAAACGCCTTTAATCCCAGTACTTGGGAGACAGAGGCAGACAGATCTCTGTAAGTTCGAGCCCAGTCTGGTCTACAAAGTCAGTTCCAGGTTAGCCAAGGTTACATAGTAATATCCTGTCTTTAAAAAAATGTTTATGTTGTTATTTGTTATTATTGTTGTGTGTCTGTGTATGAGTGTGTGTGTGAGAGTGGTGTTGGTGTGTGTGTGTGTCACCCAGGGAGCTTTCAGGAGTTGGTTCTCTTTTTGTTTTCCACCATGAGTTCTGGGGACCGAAATCACATTGTCAGGCTTGTGCTGCGTGTACTTTTAGCTGACAAGCCCTCTGGCTGACTCTGCTCTTCATCTTTTTGAGACAGGGTCTCTCACCACAGACTGGGCTGGCCTGGAACTCAGCATGTGACTCAGACTGCCTCTGACACACCGCCTCCTATTGCCTAAACATCCTGAACACTGGGATTACAGCTGTGAGCCACTGCACGCAGCTCAGTTAACTGACTTTGAGGGGCATTAGTTTCCTATTGGGAAGAAAAGCCTTCTGCCTCCATGTCCAGGGGATGATGTGAAAGGGACAGAGAACACGGCTGCATTCAGTGAACACTCATTACTTAGTTATTTGGATTCTGAGACAGATCTTGTGTAGCCCAGGCTGGCCCGGTGCTTGCTGTCTAGCTGAGGATGGCCTTGCTCTCCTTATCCTCTTGTGCCTCTCCCGTGTTGGACAACAGGTATGAACCAGCGTAGCTGGCTCGTTGTTTCTGTTTTTATCTGGTGCTGAGGATTGAACCTAGCTTGACTACTGAGGCACACTTCCAGGTCCTAGTAAAGATGCTCTGACCATCTTCACTGTCTTAGAGAGACCGATGTCCAAGGTCTCTGGAAGGATTTGGAATCCAGATCTGACAAGTTCTCTGGATCTAACCAACGGTAGGGTTTCCCCACATACATACCTCCCCTTCTTTTCTTCTTTTTCTTCTTTCTTAAGACAGGGCTTCTCTGTGTAGCCCTAGCTGTCCTTCTTCTCTGGGAACCACTCCCGTCCACTGAGCACCCCTCCACTACCAGTGAGTTGTCCTTCTCTGAACTTAACTCCCTCACCCTCCATCCCTTGTTCTGGAAGCTGCCTCTGTGGAGATTTGCTGTCATGCCTAGAGTCCCTGTCACTTAATCAAAAGACACCTGTAAGCATTTAGAGGCTGGTGAACCCCACCTCAGTTGGGGGGGGACTGAGGCCTTCCTCCCCCACTAGTCAGACTCCTCTTCATATTTTTTGACACTCAGGGTGCTGGCCACACCTTTGGTAGATCCTTTGAAACCAGGAGACCTGCTGCAGTCCTTCCTAATGAGGTTTGGAGCTTCTTTCCTGCCCCCGGGGGACCTTGTCCTCTCCTACGGAGAACCCCTCCAATCTCTGATGGCGCTTTCAAATAGATACAATCGGAGGTAAAGCCCTCAGTGTCTGGGCCAGTATTTGGAAGGGGAACAGAAGGGTTACTTGTGCTGAGGGGAAAGTGGGCAGAGCTACGATGGTTAAAACCTGCGTATCTCAAAGGGCTCTGATGAATGGTTGAACTTGTTTGTTCATTTCCATTCAGACTTAGCCACTATCCTACAATTTGACCTTGAGAGTGGGGCTCCTTCTGAGTTTCTTTCCCTCTCCGTGTAAAGGGCATTGGGAGGTGTCTTGTGTACTAGCAGATGCACACACAGGCAGAGTTGGAGCTGGAAAATAATTTTGCACACCTTGGGGTTCTCTAAGGGCCCCACGAAGGTTGGTGGAATGGACCAGAAGCAGCAGCTGTGGTGTTCAGTTTGCAAGTTAAGTGCCTTCCTGGTATGCGAGAAATCCAATCATATGCCCATCGTCCAGTGGACACCAGTCATTCATCTGCCTTAACCAGCCCACAAACCCAGAGACATGGGCTGGGAGGGAGTCCTAGCGAACCTTGTGGCCTAGGAGCGCTAAGTTCTATTGCTAGGCTGTCACACGGGCCGGGCAGGGGAGCAGAGGTGACGCCCAGCCAAAAACCTCTTCTGGACGGAGACTGAAATGTTTGACTTTTAAGCATTACCATCGAAGTTTACTGAGGTGACTCCAGGCAAGGAAAGTGACCGTCACTTATCCACCTAAAACTTGGGGTGATGCCCAAATAGAGTCAATCTGGGAGAAGGACAGGGAACTTGAAGCACTTGAGGACAAGCTCCCTGGCTGGAGGCAGGGACATGCAAGTCTCGGATTGGCTATGCTGCTATCGCTCCGCCCCATGTGCTATAAGATGCTGGGCGGCGCGTGAGGCCTGGGTGTGGGCTCTGCGGCCGCCTCTCACTAGTCTCGTGCCCAGCATCTCTCCTCCCCACGCACCGACAGCCCTGGGCCGCCGCGGGGCGGGGGATGCCGGGCTGCCGCATCAGCGCCTGCGGCCCAGGGGCCCAGGAAGGGACGGCAGAACCGGGGTCGCCCCCGCCGCCACCCCGGGAGACCCTGCCGTCCCTCCAGCCCCCTCCCCCATCGCCGACCTCGACTCCGACCCCCACTCAGTCACCGCCGTTACCCGAGGCGGCCGAGACACCCGTGGAAGGGCAGGAGCTGCAGCGCTGGCGCCAGGGTGCTAGTGGGGGGTCTGGGGGCGCGGGCCCGGCAGGGATCGGGGGCGCGGGCGCGGCGGCAGGGGCAGGGGGCCGCGCGCTGGAGCTGGCCGAAGCGCGGCGGCGACTGCTGGAAGTGGAGGGCCGCCGGCGCCTGGTGTCGGAGCTGGAGAGCCGGGTGCTGCAGCTGCACCGAGTCTTCTTGGCTGCCGAGCTGCGCCTGGCGCATCGCGCCGAGAGCCTGAGTCGCCTGAGCGGCGGCGTGGCCCAGGCCGAGCTCTACCTGGCTGCGCACGGGTCGCGTCTCAAGAAGGGTGCGCGCCGCGGTCGCCGGGGTCGGCCCCCCGCGCTGCTGGCGTCAGCGCTCGGCCTGGGGAGCTGCGTGCCCTGGGGCGCAGGGCGGCTGCGGCGCGGCCAGGGCCCCGAGCCGGACTCGCCCTTCCGCCGCAGCCCGCCCCGCGGCCCCGCCTCCCCCCAGCGCTGACCTCAGCACCCCAGACCCGGACCCCTAGCCTCCCGAGATAGGCGGTCTTCAGGTGCGGGAGGACAGACGGACGGATCCAGGTGCTGGCTAGATGGACGGCGTCATCTACACGGAGGAGACAGCGGGGGTCCATGGGGGCCCTGAAAGTGACACTGAGGTGCGGTGTTGTTGACTGGTGTTTTCTGGGGTACAGCGTGTGTCTGTGTCGAGGGGTGTAGGATCCGGGATCTCCCATGTCTGGACATCTGTGGGGCCCTAATAGAGTTGTGCGTTTTTTCCCGTGGCTTCTTTCATAGCGGGTTAGATGGCAGCCCCAAGTCCCCTTATAGAGCTGAACTAGTGGAGGGTGTTTGGCTTCCGGAGGGATTTGGTGGCAAACTTTAAGCAAGCTGGAGCTTGCTGCAATATTGCAACATCTGCTCCCTCACCTGTGCTTGTGTGGTCTCTCCTGGGTCCCCTGGGACTGTAAAAGCCCTGCCCTCAAAGTTTCTACTTAGACCCAGCTCCATCCCTTGCGATGGGGGAGGGCTGGCTCAGGGCTGTATGACTGGATTCTCCTCCTCTGAGTCTGTGACTTCCATTGGAGGAGACAGAAACCCAGAAGGTTGAAGGCTTCTCTCCTCGCCCCCACCCCCCATCGAACTTAGGTCTCTCTGTTTCTAGGGGACAATGTTTCCCATACTCCTAACCATTTTGTTACCTGTTTACAGCCCGATGGAGATATTCAGAATGAGGTGTTTGTCACCTGCTCAGCTAGAAGCCCTCCCCAAAACATCTCTAAGATAGCTGTGCCAGGGATGGAACCAGGTGACACTCTTTAACAGCCCCCAGGGAGCAGGCATGGCATCAACTTCCAGAAAGGGGGGCCTTAAAGGGCCAGACTAGAAATGCCACCTACTTCTTCCTGACCAGATGCCCTTCAGGCCCCTATTCCTCTGTCCCTACTCGGCTGTGCGTGACCTGGCTGCAGCCTCACTCATCAGTGGAAAGTGGGTATAACCACCTCTGAGGAGGGTTGTGGGGAAGCTAAAACAGGGTCTAGGATTCCTTTTCCCACTGTAAGTCATGGTTGGATATTTTACTCATTTAAATCACACCTAAGGAAGGGCTTGGCCTCTGTTTAGGAGACAGGAGCTAAGGTAAAGTCCTTGGTTTACAGACAGGAAAAGGGATTTCTCAAGGTCACATGGCAGACACACACACACACACACACACACACACACGAGAGAGAGAGAGAGAGAGAGAGAGAGAGAGAGAGAGAGAGAGAGAGAGGTGTGAAGGGGAGGAGGGGACGGGAGCCTGGTCCTAGGCCTGTATCTTTTTTATTGTGTTCCAATTAGGGAGAGCTGACCTCTGGACCCTGTCTACAGTGACCTAGAGCAATATTGTCCCCTCTCTGAATCAGGTTCCTTACATCTCTGAATATTGTTGTCCCTCCTGTCAGAGAAGGGAGAGAAGGAGGAGGTGGATGTCAGAGTCACACGGATGCTGTCATCCTGTGAGTGAGGTATATTGCTGTGATAGACAGAAGTCCTCAGATGAACCTGTCCCCTCAGGTGAACCTGTCCTATCAGACCTTCCCTTCCACAGGTTACTTACTGCTGGGGTTTCAGAAGACCTTCCTAAAGTCTTCTTACCTGGAAATCTCAGAACTTCTGAGAAAGCCATACATAGCCCAGGAGTAGTGGGGACTCTGTCATATTTTGGCCTCCCCAAAGAAGGACTTACTGAAGTCTCTCAGGTTATTTTGGAGTTCTGAGGGCCAGAGAACACAGGACTTCCTGGAGATGACAGCTGGAACTCTGGCTGCAGTCGGCTGGGCTGCTGCCAGGACCACTGGTTTCTGGTTTGCAGGGATGGGGCCCTTGATCTGCAGGAGCTTTTAGCTAATGGCATAGAGTGCTTTCTATCATCACAGTTAGGACTTTCTCTGGGATTTATTGTAATCAGCTTTGACCTGATTCAGAGATAGCGTGGATGGACACGTGAAGAGTTAGAGATGATACCTGCTGGAGATGGATGGGTGGGTAGGTGGGGGTACAGGCGGTCTGGTTCCTCCCTGCTCTTCCAGATGCCAAGCTGCTCCCTCACCAAAAAAAGAGTCTGAGCCAGGGCGCACAGCTCAGTGACTTGAACCTCAGGCCACCAGCCTTCTCAACCAACAAAAAGTCAGCTTCTGACCCTGCCTGGCCCTCCTAGGATCCTGTATGGAGTTCTCGTGTCTGTTCCATTCTCTTCTAACTAGCAGACACCAATCACTGCTTACTCCAGGGGTTTCGGGAGGAAACATGCAGCAGAGGGTCTTTGCTTTTAAGGGCTTGCCTTCCAGGTCTCTTCCAGGTAGCTCCCTGGGTGTTTCCATCCCAGGAAACCCAACTGAGGCTCAGATTATTTTATTTTATTTTATTTTTTTTTGAGAGAGAGATGCTTGCCTTAACCTCCATATATAGCTGAGAGTGACCTTGAACCTTTTAAAAACATTCATTATTTGTATGTATACAGGAGTGTGTGTGTGTGTGTGTATGTGTGTGTGTGTGTTGGGGGGTGAGCAGGCATGTGCCACAGTGATGTGTCAAAGTCAGAGGAAAACTTGCAGGAATACATTCTCTTTTCCACCAAGGGAGTGCCAAAGATTTAGCTCAAGTGGTCAGGCCTGACAGCAGGCAGCTTTACTACTGAACTACCTGTCTGGTCCCAGCCGTGAACCGTGATCTCTTGCCTCTACCTCCAAAGTGATGGGATTTCAGGTGCACACCCCACCACGATGTGCTTATGTAGTGCTAGTGTTGGACTCAGGGCCTGGTGCATGCTGGGCAAGCACTCTACCAACTGAGCTACATCCGTAGCCTCTGCAAATTATGTTGTAGCATTTGGCTAATATTCCTCTACCCCTGAGCAGAAAACACTCTTCCCACGTGACTTCTTGAACTTTAAAACAAAAACAAAAACAAAAAAACAGGGCCTCACTGTGTTGCTATGGCTAAAAACTTTCTTGATGGCCCCTAGCCTGCAGCCGGGGCAAGGTCAGGGACCCTTGGTGCATTGAGGACACTATGTCAACCAGTGAATCCAGTTAAGAGATAGCAGAGGAACGAGCTCCTTTGCTCTCTTTGGTTGGGCCCAGCAGCTTAGCAGTGCCACCAGAGGGCAGTGTGGAGCTGCTTCGTGAGAATTGGGGGCGGAACCTGGAACAGGTTCCGTTCTGGATGACCCAGTCCTCAGTCATTCTTGTCTATGGTTCTGGGGCTTTCAAAGACTTTGGGATAGGAGAGTCTGCAGAATAACCAGGAAGTGGTGGTGCAGGCCTTTAATCCTGGCACTCGAGAGGCAGAGGCAAAAGCAGGTGGATCTTGAGGCCAGTTGGGTATACAGAATGAGTTCCAGGATAGCCAGGGCTACATAGAGAAACTCCCGTTTGAAAAACAAACCAAACTAAACCAACCAACCAAACAAACAAATGAGTCGGCAGAAGAAGCAGAGGTGTCGGTTCCCTGGGCCCATGAATAAAGGAGTGATTTCAGTGGCTTCCAGCTTGGCTGGGCTAGGATCCTGAACTGTATCTATCATCCCTGGATGTGGGACTCCAGGAGAGGCACAGGAGAGAATCTAGTAAGAAAGATGTGCTTGAACGAGACTTCCACCTGAGGCAGTTCTGCATTCGCAGATTAGTTCCACTGGTGACAGCAACGGGTCCTGTCACCACCTGACGGCCAAGGTGGCCTCCTAGAGATTAGGCTGAAGTGACTTGTCCAGGCTAAAGTGTTCCAGACCTTCAGTGGGCAGTGGCCTGGGTGCCCTGACGTCTCAGCAGCAGAGAAGACTCCAGGCCGGGGGATGGGAGGAGGAAGTAGTTAGGATAGCTGGGAAATCCCCAGCCCGATTCTTCCTCCATTATTCCTTTGACTACACCCTGACCAGTCGTGATGAGGAAAGAAAGCCCTTAGTTCTGATCTCTAGGTTAACTATCCCCTTTATGCCAGGTACCATGCTAGGCATTCTGTACCCATTTTCTGTTCACATTCTTCCCAGTTCCTCAAAGCAAGGCTCTAATTCCCTCCATGTCTGCTGAGGTGGATGAATGGCTTCCTTAAAGATGTAGATTGTAATTCTATACCTGTAGTTCAGTGGGGTAATGACAGTGCTGTTTGGGGGATTTCTGAGTTCCCGCTTTTAAGGGGTCAGGTTCTGGGAAGGGAGGTATGAAATGCTGGAGGGGTGGCAAAGTGTTGTCTTGTGCCTGCTTCCCCCCTCAGGACTGGACACACCCTTGCCAGTTTGTCTGGGTTCTGGGGTTGAGTCAAGTTGATTCAGCATCCCTAGCTTATGGCAAGGGTGGGCCAAAGATGTTCAGGGCTGCATGTGGAGCCGAGGCTTGCCTCTGGGTGTCTCCCCTCCCTGGAGACTTGGGCAGGAATGTTTGTTGCCAAGGGAGCAAAGAGCTTAGATGGCAGGAGAGGCGCTGGGATTAAAGGTGTGCACCACCATCTGGCCTTAAAAAAAAAAAAAAAAAAAAAAAAGAAAAGAAGAGAAAAAGAAAAAGAAAGAAAGAATGAAAGAAAAGAAGAAGAAAAAAGACAAAAAGGGTTTATTTTTATTTTAAATAATATGTATGTATGTGTGCAGACGCTCTTGGAAGACTGATGTGTTGGACCCCCCAGAGGTGAAGTTACGGGCTTTTGAAGGCTGTTTGACATGGGTTCTAGGAACTGGATTTTGGTTCTATAAAAGAGCAGCATATGCTCTTAACTTGTGAGCCATCTCCCCAGCCCTTGAATTTTGAGGGAGATCAGGACACTACAGAGGACTGAACTTCTCGGTATAAAAAGTCCTACTGAGTCAGGCAGAGGTGGCACACACCTCTAATCCCAGCATTCAGGAGGCAGAGGCAGGTGGATGTCTGAGTTCGAGGCCAGCTTGGTCTAAGAGCCAGTTCTAGGACAGCCAGGGCTACACAGAGAAACTCTAAAAAAACCCCAAAGAAACCATGAATGAATGAATGA